TAATAATATCTATTAAATACCTAAAAAAGTGTCTTGAGGGTTGGGTTAATACTTAATAGTGACGAATCGCGGCATAAATTGTAACATTCTATTTATGTTTTGTTAGAATGTCCATTAAGCTGGCAATTGCTTACAATAGCGTTGGTCCATGCGAGATTTAAGATCCAACTATAATATAATAATATATGAAAATATGAAATATTGGAATGGATGCAGTTAAGCTCCCTAGCGATTTTGTTATTTTTTTAAAAAATAAAAAATAATATTAAAATGATGCTTTCAAAACAGGCTGGGCAAATTTTCTTTGAAGTTTTTTTTGCTAATGTGGGTTTGTTTATCTTAAAAATGTTATTCGTATTTATTTTTAACGTTAACTTAACTTAACTTGACTTGCCACAGTTAATTATTTTCATTAACTTGCCCACCTTTGCATTTTTGCAGCACTTATTGAGATCGGAGCACGTATATATAATATATTACCATCAATAAATCACATACACCCGCGTTTCGGCATACTATGTTCTTATTTCGACGTGCGCAACAAATAATGCAGTAACTCAATTTTACAACTTTTATTTTTAAGTTTTCTGAGAGTTTTAGACATTTTTTTTCAAACAATCCATAATATGAAAAAATGAAGATAAAATATTGCATTTTGATTTTTAAAGTATTAAAATTTTAACTAGGTATTTAAATATTTTGTTGTTTCTGAATTCTGATAGACTATATTATATATAATAGTACCAATACCTACTTTCTTTGGTGTAAAACTGTAGTTATTTAAAAAAAAAATCACATTGTATAATGTATAACATATTAACATATAAATCCCGGCTCTAGTGATAGAGTTATAGTCGTGTACTCGTGATAAAAACATTTAGTTCGTGTTAAAAACAGAACGAGAGCCTGCAGCTGTGAGAGTGATAACCAGTAATAGATATATCTTTGTTTTTAGGGGAATATCTTCAGGGGCCCATGTGAACATTTCTAGACCGGGGCCTTTACCTGCTAAATACAGTCATACCTTATGCTAATTGTAACTCTAAAAATTATTGTTTTCTCTCATGTAATAGTTAATAATTACCAGCATAGGCGCACATTGGGTGTGAATTTAGGGGGTGCTGGAATAATTTATGGTTCACAGAATCCTAATATTTCTGCATTGCATTAGATTTAATTTGTATAGTGTATACAATAATATCTAAAGTGCAATGTATCAAATAGTCTGTATGATTGAACAGACATGTGTTGTCTCCGTATTACAAACGTAGGTACAACATAGGCAAAACTGTTTTGCACGGGTATAAAAAACATTCAGGCTGTACTCTAAGCTAAGAAACTAAATGTTCACACTATAAAAATGAGAAAATTTACTGTGTAACTTTGTTTTTATATTTCATACAATTTGAAAACAATATATTAGGAGCCTTCTATTACATTTTTAAGCTTTTATACCCAACAAATAAAATTTTATTGATACTTATAGAAAAAAAAAACTAAAAAAAATGGAAACTAAAAATGTCCATAAAAACCTCAAAATAACTCAAAATATTTAGAAAATGTTATCATGCATAGAAAATGGAAATATAAATAACCAGTAAGATAATATAATTTTCTATAATGATATGATATAATATGATTGCTACATACTGTTTAATGTTTTGACAAAAACTGAAACACTGAAACATGCATTCACACAATACTGTTTTAATCGTGAATTCGTAAACAGTTGTCAATATTTGTAATAAAAAGAAAAATTCCGAACCAATAAACCACGATAGTTTATAAATGATTGGTGAAATACCGAAATAAACTGAGGGTGCTAGTTTGAAGCTTGGGGGTGCTCAGCACCCCCAAGCACCTCCCTATGTGCGCCTATGATTGCCAGTTATAATACCTACAATATACCTAAGTTTACACAGGTTTCTCGCATGGGTGGTACTCGTAATTCGAATTCTCCAAACTTAAAACTTAAAAGAGTAAAGACATTATTATTTAGTGTGATTATATTAAAACAAACATTATAATTAGACATATATTATATTATTTGTATTATCTTATAGTAGCTGTTCCGCCCGACGTTGTCCAGGCCAAAGATTTGTATTTTTAATAAATATATTTGTACTAAATGTATATACCATATTTCATATCTATCTGATCCTCAAATCCTACCTCGAAGATCGGTTCTTCTCCGTACGTGTAGGTTGTTCCTTCTCCTCTCCTACTGAAATAAAAGCAGGCGTTCCACAAGGCGCAGTAATTTCTCCCCTACTCTTCAATCTCTACATCTCCGACCAGCCTACTTCACCCCATCCCTTAGTCGGTGATTTTGCTGACGACAAAGCCATACTAGCAACCAGCCCTGATCCTGTTTTAGCCTCCTCCTACATATAAGATTATCTCTTCTCCCTTGAATCGTGGTACAAAACATTTGGAGTAAAAATGAACGAAACCAAGTCCATCCACGGTACCTTTGCACTTCGTCAAGGAGTATGTCCAACACTTTACCTCAACAACCAACCACTTCCCCCTGCGCAATGCGTTCGTTACCTCGGTATCCTTATCGACCGCCGTCTCACTTGGAAACCTCACATAATTAACAAAACCCGTACACTAAATGACCGCTTCCGACTCCTTCGTCCACTTCTAACATCAAAGCACATGAAACCTTCCAACAAACTCCTACTCAGACTCATCTGGACTTATGGGATTCAACTATGGGGCGCTGCCAAAATCTCCAACATCAACCGCATTCAAAGATTCCAATCCAAAACTCTACGCACAATTCTAAAAGCACCATTCTATGTCTCTAACCACACCCTCCACACTGATCTGACCATTTGTCTCTGAACTAGCATTATAAACTCATTATAAACGTTTCAATAGCCGCCTAGCTCAAAATAAGAATCCGTTAATCTCCGACCTATCATCTGCTTCTATCCCAGGTAACCCAGTTAAAATACTTAAAAGACAGTGGTGTCGCGACCTGCTAGCCTAATTTAGTCCTACTCATGTCGTAGTACCTCCGCTGGGAGGCCTCTACATTCGGGATAATCTGTCATTTATTTTTATTTTATTTTATTTTTTACTTTCATCAATTGTTCTTATTGTTCATGTATTGAAACAGATTGAATAAAATATTTTAATTACAAAAAAAAAATAAAAATATTTCATGTAATATTAATATAATATGTAACGAATTGCAACCATTTAGATTGACAAAAAAATTTTTTTTTCGTAGGCTAAAAAAAATCAAGTGTGAGCTACCCTTTACCTATCTGCAGCCTATATGAGTTGAAAAAATTAAGCTATATACACCCTCCAAGTTTCAAGTAATAATCTATTGAATTAACTTTTATTGAACACGGTCATATTTTGAGGCTATTAACTTCGGATAAACCAACATCCAATTTTAGTTGTACCAATAACCATCGATAACCAAATTTTGCCATCGGTTTGAGCATCTCTTTACTCCATAGATATTAAAGAATGGACAGGCCATATTTTGTGCTTATCATACGGGAACGGTCATGAAAAACTTTTGAGGTTATAGAGGTCTTAACACAAATATATATATATATATATAACTATTGTATATCATTTATGATAAGACCTCTGCCGGAATGAGATATAATCATAAAAAACAGTCTTTCTCTCTTCCCCGTTGCGGCACACGACCCTCTATTTTATTAATGTAGCCATGGCTTATCCATTCTTTAATATCTATGCTTTACTCCGAGAGCCCACGAGAGTCCAAACGTAAATCGAGCATCGATATAGTAATACGCGATGTCTGTTTTCTCCCACCATGATGCCATTCCCAATATTCGGCAACGTGCCGACGAGCAGCGACGGACGCGTTTTTACGTATGGACTCTCGTGGGCCGGAATATTCAATATATATAACTTAGATCACGATTAAAGATAATAAAAGTATATTATTATCTTTAATCGTTGCTTAGATTATAATCAGAGCGACATCTGTTAACGAGTGAAAACACTAGACGCGCGCGCGCACACGCAATCTCCTTGGTAATTCGTCGTACGACAGTTGACCGCCTGCGTCCGCTTTGTTTGCGATCCGTTGTTTTGACGGTGTTTTACGCTATGGCGAGCGGCGTGTAAGCCGATAGTGCGTGTACAAAACAACAATTTTTTTTTTCATTAACAACAAATTTTTATCATTCTATGATATCCCAAGAGTTTTTCCTCTTTTCCTCTCCGTCAGTTTCAGTGGATATTTCGCTTCCATTCGACCGGACCAGCCATCCGGCACAAGGTGAGACACGAAGACCGAGTACTTAGGTAACACCGCGCGCCCGAGTCTTTTTTTCGCAAAACTGCACATCACGCGGAGCACCGGAGCCGACCGACCGACACGCACTCCGGTCTCCGGTGCTCGACGGACACGAGCGAAGCGAGAACGGAGGTGGTGGCGTTAACGACGACGGACGAAGGAGCCGATGCAGAAGGAGGAGACGTCCTAACCAGCGAGCGAGCGAGCCCCGACGACCATCGTCACGCGTGTGTCGAAAGCACTACACGCGCGCGAAAAATCCCCCCCTCGAGGCCGCCGACAGAGAGTTGTAACGGCGTATTTCGCCCGCTCCTCCGTGCCCCGCTGCCGCCGCCACCACCAACAACAATCGATACCGTCATCGTCGTGTTCGTGATAGTAGTAAAACGTTTTCGGTTATAATAGTGCGACGCACCGTTTGTAACACGCGCAATTTTTGTATTTCCATTTTACTTTTTATCCCGATTTCCAATGCCTTTTTTCCGCCCCATCGTTTGATAACGTTTAGATTATTTACCATTCCGTTCGTGGTCGCTGCGTTTATACCAACACACGTCCGGGACCGCTTCAACTGGTGACGACCGCGGCGATTATTATTGCCTCTGTTACGTTTTGACGCGCCGTCCATGGTGGTTTGGTCGCGACATCGGCCTGCCGTCTGATCCGGGATTCGTTTCACGGTGCGCACACACACTCGCCAAAAATGCACCACGCTGCCGCCATGGTTTTCCAGGAGAACAACAAGAGATCGCTGTTCCTGGGATCGTTTGTCCAAGGTAAATTCGTGCCCCGTGCCCTGTTCTTGTTATTGCGCCGCTGCCCATTTGGTCGGCGGGATTTGCCCGGAGGTACCATAGGTGGTACCCCGATGATACTTGTTGAACTGCAGTCGCAACATTTCGTTTTGGAGGACGCTACCCATACATTTGTTGTTGTCTCACAAGTCTTACACACCCACGACATAGCAAATTGTCGTTCACTAGTTTCAATAATCAATAGTGTGCTGTTAGTTTCGATACTACTGTGAATTGACCTATTATAAAACTTTTAGGTAGGAACATTGTGTGTGCTTAAGCGTTGCCGATTTTTCGAAATTTTCATTTTCAAACAAGATATGGGTATGTGAAATATCAAAAAAATAATGCTCATATCTCGCTTGAAAATTAAAATATTGAATGAAAGCCAACTCTTAAGCACAGATAATGTTATTATCTAAAAAATTGATAATATGTCAAATCACTCTAATATTAAAACTAACAGCACACTATTGAAACTGGTGAACGAAAATTTTGCCATGTTGTACGTGTGTAAGACAGAGACAACAAATGCATAGGTAGCATCCTCTTAAAATCTGCGTCTCATGTTTTCACTCCCAAGTATTTCATATTGGAAGTGTCTATTATAGACAGTTCAGTTTTGGTCATTTTAATGCACATTTTGGCTCAAATAGTCGGTGCATCGTTCATATAATTAACTATTCAAGCTAGTCTAGCGTAAATTACATTCGATTTAATATTTACATAGGTAAATTACCTACCTACAGTTATTATTTTGTTCACTACATTTTATTACGTAGATACATCTAACTTGACTCTAAATTCATTATTAAATTAGGTACCTATTTATTTTTATTTAATTGTCATCTTTTCATAGTTTTGAATTAAGGCTACTGATATATTTTGATTAAAAATATTAGTTATCTTCTTAAAATTGCTAACTTTTGTTAGCTTAATAATAAATAATATTAGTTTAACAGTCAGACCTCACTAGCATAAATAGTCACAGTAAATAACAATACAAGCGAGTAGACGTGTTTAGCATTTTATGAAGTTCTGATATTTCTTATTACCTACTTGAAAATGTTTTTATGTTAGGGTATCAATGTATACATACGTGTCTACATATCGGTACACTATTTAAAAACAAAAAATTTGTTTACTGTCCTATGTACCTACCTAGGTATTTATTTTATGAAAGTTAAGTTTACATAATATCATAAATAGGATGGTAGGTGTACATTACATTCTGTCCATATTTGCATTCTCAACAAATGTACCTACTTATAGATACTACAAGCATAATATATTTCAATATTTCTGATTTATTTAGTCTAAATAATATAGTTAGTGATTATTTTAAATTTTAATAGCATTACTTAACTATGAACTGAATAAATAGATTCTTCTAGACTATTTCATTCTATTTAGGTAGGTACTTATAACTTATGTCATCTAATTTTAGAATTAACCAACTAATTATTATGCTAATTATATTGGTGAATAAATACTCCTATTGAGTAGGTACTATTTGAGTATCTTAGATAATAATGATAATAATAATTGAAGCAGTACCTAGGTACATTATACTTTACACGAGTCATAAACCTTGTAGGTACATACCTAATAGAACATTTTAATTTTTACTTAATTACCTATATTGTATATTTTTATTTTTGGTAATTTGATTATTATTAAAGGTAGGTACTTGATTATTTGTACAATTTTAGAATATATAAATAAAAACCCCCATAAAAATAAGTACTTAACTAAACTTAACTACCCGACACTTTATGATTTTAACAGCTTATTGAAATATCTAACAGGAGTAATCAAAAATAGGTTATGCCCAGTACCTAACAAATTTAGGTTTAAGGGATTTGTATTATTTATATAACTAAATGTTTTAAATTAATGAGGTAAACTTTCTAACGATTCTGGTTTAATTTTTGTATTTAAAGAAATATTCAGCATCTGCCATTGGGTGTAATTTACAAAGTTTAATAATATGTTTTTAGGCATCCATACACCTTTTATAGGTTGGTCTATACAATATACATATCATCTTAATGATTGTTTAAGCGATAGTTACTATATTATGAAAGTTAGCTGCAAGCAATGGTCATCTTAGTTGGTTATACATTATTTATTTAACGCCAGACGGAAATTTATAGATACATTGTAATAATTAGTAGATTAACAAGAAGTGATAATAAAGAAATAATATACATGGAAAACATAGTTATAATTAAAGACTTAAGTTTAAACTTATACTAAACAATGTTCAGTTAAAAAGAGTACATGGTAAGGTAAAATAAAACTAAAGACAAAAACATTCAATAGAGATAAATAATAACATAGTCAGCTAGAGATCAGGAGCTATTAAGTAGGCGGAGCATTCTATCTAATGGATTATTATGGGAGTAATTAGTACGGTGAGAGGAGACAAGGTATAGGGAATGACTTCTAGTGAAATGCACAAGAACGCGGAAAGAGATAGAGGACAGAAGGTTTGGGGCATCTATTGAGCCGTTAAGGAAAGAGGTGATGAATGAGAGGTCAGCATCTACATGACGAGAAGCAAGAGTAGGGATATTTAAGGAAGATCTAACTGAAATGTATTCATGGGGCGGGTGATCAATATTGAGTATAAAAGCGGCGTAGGAAAGGAAGCGGTTTTGGACACGCTCTAAACGTAATTGGTCCATGGCTAGATATGGGTACCATACAACTGAGCCATATTCTAAGACAGAGCGGACAAGGGAAAAATAGAGGGAGCGAAGACAAGTAGCGGACGTGAAAAGGTTAGTGTTGCGCTTTAAGAACCTCAGAATTTTTAACGCTCTTCCAACAGTAACATCAATATGGTGCTCAAAAGAAAGAGAAGGAGTTAGATAGAACCCGAGATCTTTGACAGTGGATACACGTTCGAGAGTGGAGCCAAATTATAATATGAATAAGCTGTAACAGCAGTACAACAGTTGTAGCTTTTTTAAATTTAATTTTTAGGCTTTTAAAACTCAAAAAATATTATATTTATATTTTATTATTTTTGTAACACTTATATTAAAATATAATTTATACAAGAATTTTGGAGTGTATAGAACATACTAGGATTGTATTTTTTCAAAATATCATTTTTTAGCAATTTTTTTGTCAGGTTTATATTGTTTCTTATAATTTATAACAATGTTAAATTCATTATTTTCCATATCACATAGGTATTATTTATTATTATTTTTTCTAGAAATTGTAAGATTTTTCAATTAATTGTTTTATTATTAGTGTCTTGTTAGTTAGATCCAGTGTAGTTGTAATTGATAGATAAGATGGATGGTTAAAATAGGTACCTAATATTAATACATAGCTTGTAAGTAATAGGTACGTCTTTAGTTTACTACATTAATTAAATGATTATTTGATAATTTAATATCTATTTAGGTTTTTATAATAAGTTGTTAAAATTGGGATTTTTCTTCTATACAAAGAATTTGGTTAATATCTAAAGACGATAATTATAATCATGTAGATGAATCTATAACAGATTGGTAAATGTAACAATAATTTGTTTGACGTGTTTTATTGTTTTATTACGTTTACAACAAATCAAAGTTCAATGATATAATATAGAAAAAATATTTTATATTATTCTAAATCGTATTTTTTTCTTATTATTAGTGCATACTGCATTACCTAAATTCCCATGTTCTAGCGAAGTAATTATTTGCCATAATTATCTTTTGTTCAATATTCTGAATAATTGAATCATACTAAGTCATATTATTTAACACTGACCACATTCATACAATGACTCATTTTATCGGTTCACTTTTCCCAGCCGTTTTTTATCCAAATATATTTTAAAGTTTTTATCATTATTTTTTATATTTAAAGATATGCTTTTAAAGGATTTAATTGAATATGAATATCTCGATGAATATTCACTTTCTCACTTCGTTTTTAAAACGAAATTAAAGAATTTTAAAATTGTTCATAAATAACTACCAAAAATATTTCTTGAAGTATTATATTTTGAATAACTGAAAACTCGTTAAAAATAGTGACAGTCAGATTAAACAATCAGAAAAAATGTTGCTGCATGTACCTGTTGTAAATTTAATTTAAATATGTATGCCTAAAAAATACTTTATACTCATTAGATACATTAACAGTGTATTTTTTATATAATTGACGATTTTTAAGGTAAATTATATTAGAAAGAAAGTATCCAATTATTATTCTAAAATTATTTTATAGATAAATAATATAATAGCAAAATTGTGTAAAATATGCTATTAACTGAAAACTAGCCAAATATACTACATTTCTTACGAGTGAAAAAAGAGTAAATATGCTCAATTAAATTAAAGTTACTAACTCTTTATGTGATGAAAAATATTTACTGTATCTAAGCATTCTTAGCCGTGTTTTAAGAGGACGTGATACCTGCATGTGTTGTCTCCGTCTTACGAGTGCATAACATAGCAAATTTTACGCTCAGCAAAACACTTGTAGCTCCGTTAATTTAAAAATTAGAGTAAATTAACCTCTTATAAAATCCAAAGGTAAGATTAATATCTAGACAACCTCTTGGGCTTTTTATAATATTTTAATTTTTAAGCTAGTTATGTGTGCTTTAAGATTTATAAACAATTCACAATTTTAAAATGCTCATAGCTCGCTTAAAAATTAAAATATAATAAAAAGCCCATGAGGTTGTTTAGATAATAATAATCTTATCTTTAAATTTTAGAAGAGGTCGCATTCACTCTAATTTTTAAACTAATGGACCTACACGTGTTCTGCTTTGCGTAGAATTTTCTATGTTACGCACTTGTGAGACGGAGACAACACAGAGGGTATCACGTCTTCTTAAGTTAATACATAAGAAAATGCCATCTCCTAAAAATTTCTGTTTTAACAAATAATTTATTGGAGTAGTCTGATAGAGGGTCATGTAGTAACCCAATTTATGTTGCTTTGAACCGTCTTCTCATTTCTCAATTCAATGCGTGTGTTGTCTTCAAACAGTTCAAACTTTGTACTTGCTCTGAGTCAGGGAAATGTAAAAATAAATAAAAACAAATGTTTGATATTATTCATGTTTGTGCATGTAGTGTGTAAATAGTTGCTTGAGACCATAATAATATTATAGCGTGTGTATACAAACATAAAAAAATGTATATATAACGCGCGACGAGCATTGTTTACATCGCGGGATTCGTGCGAGTAGGCATAACGCGTCCCCCCGATTGGACCAATTCGGTCGGTCTCCATTCTCGACGCACGTCGCACACACAAACAAGACACACAGCGGATCGACGATCGCCGCCACTGCCGCGTTGTATATTTGTACACCATAATATTGTATTTATATACTAACAGTAATCGAAACCGGTTTTCCGTCGGACAAATTCTTGGCATTCATTTCCCTTGTTTACCCGCCGACGTAGATTCTGTGCTTCTGGTCCTTGCTTGGGGTGTTGGTGTTGCGTGTGTGTGTTCTCGATAACTTAATTGTTATTATTGGCCGAAAGGAATACGTCCCCGAAAATATGTGTTTAATATTATGTGTGGGAAGATAATATTTGGGATCGGGATAATATTTTTCCCCCTTTGGTGTTCGGCCCGAACTTCTTGGGTTCGTTGTCGAGTGCCGACGACGCCCTTAGCGACAATGGTTGGACGAGGCGGCGGCGGCGGCCCCATGTGAATGACACGTGGTGCGGTTGTGCGTCTTCGGTGTATAAGCGCCGCCGCCGTAGTTGCATTGCGCGCGCTCATAGCTTCCTCGGCGATCAATGAACCATGCAGACGTCGCTCGGCTAGCCGGCTGCCTCTCTTCATCGTCTGGCTCCACCGCGCGCCGCTCATCACCACACGGCAAACTCGTTTGACCACCCAAACGCTGCTGCGTTGATCGTCCTCAAGCCGTGGTGTGATGTATGTTTGTGTACATCTGATCAGTGGTCATGTATACGGGGGGTTAAAAATAATAAAGATAGAAAATAAAATTATAAATGCAATTATTGTTCATTAGATAACCCTTGAGTCTCGATACAAAGTTGTCGTTGACGAACTCAACCGATTGTTTTTTGAGTTTAAATTTTAAAAAGAAACAAAACTGTGGAAATTATCATTGATATTATATTTGGCCCGTTTTGTTCCATTACAGTCGGAGCCGGCATAGAGAGATTGATGATCCAGAATAGCGACGGGGCCGGCGAAGACGAGTCTATGGAAATATTCGATCTTGCAGGTAACCAACACAGTGATAACATGCCCAGCGAAACCGTCAAGCAGATGTACAACGCGTCTGCTGAAGAAATCAGGTAACATCAAAATATCACAACCGACGGCTTTTCATAGGGATCGCTCTGTATACCATTGGAATGTATTAATTTAGCGGGGCGACCGATGGGGGGAGGGGGTTAGTCCTGTGAGTCCTCCTAACCACCTGGCTTATTTTTTCATCGAGGGTTGCTAGTTGTTACTATTCTTGGAAACAGACGCACACGACAATGCAGCTGTTTGCGCCCCTCGAGTTAAAAACAAACATTGCTTTTTTCGACCCTATCGTATCCTCTCAGCTCTCGTGGTGCATCACGTTCATGCAATTACGTAGTTTCTAGACATTTTCTTTCATTAGCTGAGAAGTTTCGAGTAGTTGTACACGAAGAATAATCATGGGGGTCTTTTGTAGCCGTGGTCTAAATTTAAAATCTACTATTCGTGCCAACTGGCTACTGTTATTGCCAGACAGTCAAATATACCATACCTTTATAATGGGCTAAAATAAAATCGCAGAATTTCACCCGTTGCCAATGGCCGAGACCCGCAGTCGGATGAGAAATTTTGCTAATTAAAAAAATTCGAAATTTCCACTTGTGGTTAATACATATTTAAGATTTAACTTCTTCGCAATAATTCCCATGACATGTGGTTGTTAGCATATTGTAATTATACGATCAGAGTGTGTTGGTCATATGGTACCTCATTTCGAACTGCAAAGTGTGTGCCTGGCCATTCTATAAATAGCTAGACACATCAACTCTTACTTCCTGTCTGGTACTATTGCCACTTTGTTCCTTTGCACAGTTAACGTCCGCTACATTACGATTTAAAACAATTTAATTCAATTACTTAAAAGACCTATTTTTAAACCTACTGTATTTAGTTTTTAAATGAAACAAAATCCATATAAAAATATTTTAAAAGGCGTTATTCTTTCTCATTCATACTAATTGTATTTTATTTAGTTTGAATATCAAGCACATATTTTAATCTTAGTACATTTTTTGAAATTTTGAATGCAGGCTAAAATTTTTTACAGTGGGTTTTAGTAAATATGTTGTTAATGGTAGTGTTACTAAAATTAATTTGATTAAAACTATGTAATTAATAATAACAACTTCAGTAGATTTAATACCTGTACGGGCATTACGGCTGTACATATTATTTATTAATTATTATTATGTATATATTAGTAAGAATCTATATAACTAATAAGAGTACCAAACAAGCACCTATACATTTATTACGTCTATTATTACGTGTCGTGAATGATTGGTGTTGACCATGAAGGCGCGAAGAACGAATTCAGGGAATTAAAAACTTTGTTTGACCAGTGTGTCAGTAGTCTTCGCATCATTTGGCATATAAATAAAGTAGGTCAATACGTCATAGCATAACAGCTAAACAGAAATACAATTTCTGCAGAGTCTGTAATGAACTTATTTTTCCTTTTATTAATAACTATTGTTCAAATTGGCGACTTCGTGATGGACACGAAATAAAATAAATGTTTAGGTATTTAGCGATTGCTAATATATTATTATAATGTTATTATTTTGTTTGTTTAAATAAATAAATTTAACGGTCAATTTATACAGGATATCTAAAAAATATAAAACAACATTTGAAAACTAATACATATAAATAAAAATTGCGCCTATTCATTAATCTTAAAACCAATAACTGGTTGTTGAATCCGGATTTCAATGTTTTTTTTTCCATGTGTATCTTTGTTAAAAATATTCTTGGAGTCGAGTAGCTTGATATAAGAATATCTCTACTAGTCTTTCCAATAACTCCATGCATTGTTTACAGGCTAATTTATTTTGCGTATTTGAGTGCCGACTGGGTAAAGCATTCTCAAGTTTCTTAACCTGTCGTTGAAATGTTGCTATATACAAATCTATATATTTTGTGAACGAGTGATACATTTAAAAAAATATTTTTGTTACCTATGTATATTTTTAAAACCCCATCATTTCTATTAAATCAATTACTTCACGTTATTGTTTGTTTCAAAATATTTTGGAGATATTGTTTTTTTTTTTGCTCTTGTAAATATTTATGTTCTTGTTAGTAAAAAAAATCCAACCAGTATTAATTTAAATTTGATAATTGATGTTTTGAAAATAATTATAAGTGTGTTTATTACACCTACTTTTATTAGTATTATTTTCAACACTTAATTCACACTAGATTATTCTCGTACTTTTACTAAAGATTCCTCGGTGAAAAAAAGATCAGTAATATTCGCCTCATCGTTAAGGGGATTCGATACCGTGATTTTCTGTTTTTGTCTAACACACACGTGACATATTATTTTAGACGTGTTTTTTGCCAAACATTCCAATTGATCTAATGAAGCGATAAGAATTCTGAAAACAGATTTGAATTTGTCGTCAAGTCTACTTGAAATTGACTTTCCCACATTTTTGATATTATCCCCCAAATTTTTTAAAATGTCATATTCAAAAAGAGTATTTAAAAATTCTGTTATTTCAATTTTTGGAGAAGGTCAAATCAAAAAATAAAAAATGTGAGAAAGTCGATTTCAAGTAGACTTGACGACAAATTCAAATCTGTTTTCAGAATTCTTATCGCTTCATTAGATCAATTGGTATGTTTGGCAAAAAACACATCTAAAATACTATGTCGCGCGTGTGTCAGACAAAAACAGAAAATCACGGTATCGAATTCCCTTAACTGATTGATCAACTATTATCTGCCTTAAGTATAATATATAATACTATAATCATTATTTAAATAAATAAATTATTCAGTTTCAATCATTAACATATTACTATTTTTTATTGAGCTTAAGCCCGGCAACTATGGCCATTAGTTGTTTTTTTGTTTGTAGGGGGAGGAAGGGTTGGTTGAAACACGTTTGTATGTGTGGCAAGAATTTGTAGCCAAAAATCACTGGTGGTCACCCATCCGGGAGCTAGCGTCATCCGGGACCGCGCCGCCCATATTATTTTATAAACTGTTCAAAAACCATGACGTATAACATTTGTGTAATAAAATCTGTTTAAATATTTAAAAAAAATGGACATTAGGAAGAGATTGCCTTAAATAAAAAGCGGGAACTATCAACGTTTTCTTTCATAATGTATTGTTTACTTGTAATAGTGTAATTTCATAAAATCTTTTACGAGTTAGTACGCAATATGACGTAAATAATATTATGAATATGCCTGTTTATAGTATATTGGTTACTTAGTCTATACTCTATAATATCTATAATCATAATGTAAATCAATATGTCTATAATATAATATAATACCCATAACATTTTTTGGACATAAGGTTTTTTTAAAAATATTTAAATTCTAGTTTATTGGCCACACACGCCGGCGTTGAATGCATTTCTGATTCGTAACGAATTCATAATAAAAATGCGTCGTCGTCCGATTTTGGACATCTGCCAATACGAGGCGCCGCACGTTCTATGCACGCTAAAGCCCCGCGTGCGTGATTAGTTTAAACGTAGTTCTGATTAAAAGAACCGACCAGACCAAAACGACAGACAACCACCGTGTAGAAACGACGTTGAAAAATATAAATAAAATAACATACAAAATGAATGGAAAAACCCCGCGAGTCAGCCGTGTGGTGCGTCTTTACTATGCGTACGAGCGGCGTGTGTCGTACACATAGTAGTACGGAGTACAGACGATATACGATAGTAATAATATGAAAGAGTGTATCGGCTTTGGCGCGCACGAATGATTTGTCGCGGGGCCGGACGGGGAAAACACGACTACCTACCACCGGCTCGCGAGTCCCTCCAAAGAACGCAGACGCGCGCATCCCGTTCGTGGTGTGTTCTTCACGGTCGTCGCGTGCCAATAATCGATTTCCCCCGCACGCGTGCCTCCGAAAGCGTTCCGCGGCGGAGAAAGCGCGTTGGGCGACGGCCGCCCTTATTTTTCCGGGCGTTTTCGCACGCACGCCGTTTATCATTGACCGCCGGCTGAAAAGGGCGGCCCCGCCCCGTATACGCGACCGGTGTTTATTTTGATGTTGGGTACTCGGTTACGTATATTTTGCCGGTCTCATTCTCTTGCGCACGCGCGCTCGCCGCCGCCTCCCGACCGTCACACGTTGGCGGCACTGTGGACGCACCGGATACCCGGCCGTTGGTCCCACTGGACCCGGTCCCCGTTTATATTTTTATTTCGTTTGGTTTGGTTTGGTTTTTTTTCCCCCCGTAGCCGCTCACGCACGCACACGTACGACCAGCCAGAGTAGCGTCGCACGGTTTTTTTTTATATTTTGTACTCGTTCACGTGAGCGTGCGCGCATTCCACCGCGAGTGTGTGTGCGTCGGTCGCTTTCTCATTTCTCTTTCTGGCGGTACGCTCCGCCGCCGCCGTCCTTCGTTGTTCACACGACCACCGCCATATAGCGTCGCAGTTGTAGTGTACTAGTGTAGTGTGTGCCGTCCGCGCCGATCGTGTGTGTGTGTGCCGTTTTGTCGCGCCGCCTTTTCGCTTTCTCTGCGCGCGCGCGCGCGCTCTAAACCGCCGTGTGCTGCAGTACACGCGTGTTTTTCCACCGATAATTCGTGCGTATATTTACTACGATCAGTTTTTGGTTGTATTTTTTGTTTTAAAAATAGTTTTTATTATTGAATTGTTGAGTTATTATCCGTACTGTTGCTATTAAAATTAACGATATCGGTCTGTTCCGTGTATATCGTTTTTTCGATTTTCCGTGCATCATGAACTTGCATCAGGACCAGTTGCAGAGTGCGATGGGTGATCGCTCGGTAATCGACACGCTCGTGTCCGGCAAGGTAAGGAGTCGACGTCTTATTCACACACTTCGGGTACCCCGTTTCCCGCGTTTTTCTCCTCGCCCCACTCTAGATTCCCGGCTTAGTGTGTCTTTCTATATAGCACTATAGTAGTGTAATGCTGCTAGACGGTTTCCAATCGCACACGATGCTTTCGTAATTTCCGTTACGGTTTTTGACCGGGACGTTGTGTGTGTGTTGCTGTTGAGATGCGGCCGAATGACTGTTGACTTTTTT